ATACGTAATCAGGTGGGAGTTATAATCATTTTATTGGTGCAATTGTCCAATAACCACAAACGTACCGCTTTCATTTTTGGAATTTTTGATTGCTTTTGTGTTGTTTTTCCAATTGCTATTTGAACAAGTAGCATTCACATTTCCTATTTGTAAGAAGTTCGAGTATTCAGCGAGCGCGAACTTCCTCTTTTGTTCAAAAGTACTATTTGATTGCAATAGTGCGTGAAATTTGTTTTACCGTTAAATTTGCGGACCTGATTGGACTGGTTGTAAGAATAAGGATTTCCTTCCAGGAGAAAGTAATCAGTGATCTCCGTGAAGAAATTGATAGAATCCATGCAGAGCACAAAGAAAGTGTTGCAGCTGAGCACAGCAAGCTTCAAGATGCTCAGGTATGTGAAAAAGTCCTTGAAAAAATGCATTTGTGCACTGCTGTACTTGCATTAGTTTGAGTTCTATATTTCACGGCTATAGTGCGGGGGGGGGGGGATGGTGGATTGATGGTGAATTCAAACGTTGAACATGTATAAATAGCGCGCTCAGCGTTCTGAATAAGGTCATGTTCACACTTAGAGGTAGCGTCCATCAGCGACCACTAGCATTCCGAGCGTCCGCAGAGGAAAGTATACACATCGATCTAGCGAGCAGCAGCGCCTACCATCGTACTGCAGCGAACAGCGCGTCCTGGAGTGGAGAGTATGGGGAGATAGGAGGGTAGCACACAGCTGGTAGAGTACGAGCAGATAGGAGGGTACCAGACTGCTGCTGAAGAGTATGAGTCTTCCAGCTGTCTGCTACCTCCTATTACCCCATAGCTTTCCTGAATGCTGTTGGTCGCTGGTGAACGTTAGCAGACGCTGCTGGTCACTAGATCGACATCTGTACTTACCTAGTCGCTGAAGCTGTCGAACGCTCGGAAGCTAGTGGTCGCTGGTGGACGCAAAGTATGAACGTAGCGTAATAGTTTCCATTTTTCACTTGTTTTTTAAGCACCCACCGGGCACGCGAGGAAACACTGGGTGCCCGGGTGAGAGACCAAAAAAAATGAGCGACAGAGAACACATACAAGCTAGACCGTGGTTGCGTATGGTTTTCATAGTGGTTTCCCCGCTCCATTTTCGCTCGACCAGAGGGGAGGTAGAGAGCGGTCGCACCCGAAGAAGAAGTTTTGAGGGGTCATTGCGGCAGGACTGTCTTGTTGGCAACAGCAGAGCTTGCTACTGCTTTACGAGGAAGCTGCTGGGTTTACATGATCGGGGATGTGCCTATAATTTCTATGTTATTAAAGTCACATGCCTCTAATTTCTATGTTATTGAAGTCACAGAGTTTAGTAACAAATTGCTACTTCAGGCTAAAATAGCACAACTGACTGCAAGTGAAGCAGAAGCCACAAAGTTGTTGAATGACGTGCAGTTGAGTATGGCCAACGCCGAAGAGAGTC